AAATGTGAATCGCGTAATGGAATGAAAATAATTTTCTCCTAGAGAATACATTAGAGAATTACTGCAGCCAGCCTTCTGTATTGGCTGCAGATTTGATCACCATGTGCCATTTGTGCTGTTGCATTAGGAAAAGGTCATCTACGTTATGGCTTTTCTGATTACGTTCTACAAATACAGCAAAATTATGTTTTGGAAGACTGAAAAAACAATTAGGCCTCGTGTACACTGCTGCTCCTAAACATGAGTTTAGGAGCTTTTGGGATTTTTTGCCAAAGCCCCTGAACTCAACTCAATAAAAGCCTATGTTTCCATGCACACATAGACTTTTATCAGAGTTTAGCAGCAGAATTTAGGGGCAGTTAAATGTCCCCCTCCTGAACGCAGCAGAATCGCATTCAGGAGAGGAACGCATTGCCAAAAAAGCCAAACGCGACAATAACGTGTACCTAAGTGCTAACCACGTTTAGCGATTGAGCGTTTATTTTAATGACAAGTACTCTGGCTAATGAAATGAATAAATGTCTAAGCTCTAGACGTGGTACCATGTTTACACATGCTTTTTGCCACGTTTAGCGGTTTTTGTTACCAGTAGAATAAACATTCCAGTGTACATGTAGCCTTACGGAGAAACTTTGTTTCCCCTGCAAGCAGCTAAATAAGCAGTTAAAAAAGCAGTTAAAATATTGTGTAGACTGATGCCATAGGATTTAGAACTTTGTGGATGGTCCTGCCTGCCACAGCATTTGTTTGTTGAACATCTGCAGAGTTACCACTACTTCATCTTTTGCAGTTTTCAGTGTCCGCCTTCTTGTTGCACATTTGCTGTGTGCTTTTGCTTATTCACTGTGCATCAAATAGGATGGGGCAGTAGTGAGGGGACACAGGAATCTTCAAAGCTTAACCAGAAAATAGTTGTCCACTTGCCAGTGCTAAGTGGAAAAAGTATGTGATCACAAGTCTGAACTGCAAAACCTTTGTCAGGGAAAAAAATGTTTATGCCAGTGTATTTAAAGGGCATGTATAGTGGTTTTGTAGACAAATCCAGCCAGCAGATGGGCCTTTTTGATCCCTTTTTTTATGTAAATTCTAGACTCTTTATCAAAGAATTGCAGGAAGCTTGTTGATGGAGATCAGTAGCTCGGACCCAAATGTGTACACAAAACTTGCTGAGTTGTAGTGGGTGACTCTCCTTTTCAAACAGCCCAGTCCAAAGTTAATATAAGAAAATACTGCCCAAAACCATGATGGTTTCCTTTTAAACAGAGTATATAACTGTTTTGACTGATTTCTACTTCGACATAAAAACAAGTGGAATGGAAGCACCGTTATGCCTCTTGCACACAAGTGTCTGCAATATAAATTCCGGCGTATTACCCCCACGCAGAAAGCCCTGGTGCTGCACACAACCGCCCATAGAAATTAATTCTTATTATTATACAGGATTTATATTGCGCTTACATTTTGCACAGCGCTTTACACTATAAAGGGGGACAGTACAATTACAATACAGTTCAATACAAATGAATGGCTGTACACTGACATACACCAGTGTTTGGTTCACATAAACACTCGTATAGCTTATGGGCATAAGCAGAAAATAGAAAATTATTTGCTGCATATGGCCATATGCTATACAAGTGTTTTATGCATGCACCAGTTTATACCAGGGTACAGCCACACACCCATTCATGTCTATGGGTTACTATACGCAGCACCTGGGCTTTCCATGGGTTATACACTAGAATTTACATTGCATAGGAGGTGGTGTTAGAAGGTTGGCTTAGTTATTGATCCTTCATTGAGGTACAGTTAGCTGTATTGCAAAATATAGATTAAGTGAATCTGTAGCCCAAAGTAACCACAGTGCTGTTGGAGACACACATAAGGCCAGGTCAGTGAATATTACAAAATGTGACTAAAAATTCAATGTCGATTTGATCAGTGCATATACAATAAGATTATTTTTGTTTTTGACTTTTACAGCTCTGTTTAAGAATGTCTGTCTTATTTAAAGTTATAAATGTACTTTCATGTCCTTAGTGGGGTTGTGCAGGCACCCTGAACGGCTTGATAAGTGTCAACATGGCATGTTTTTACTGTACATCTGGAAAAATTATAGTTTTTACCTGTAGTGTTTAAGCCCTGCAAACCCTCAGCCTAAAGCGGAACTAAAGGCAGCTTTTAAACACCCCTTTTCTCCGATCCTGTCCCTCATTGGCGCTGGCCTCTTCTGGGTGCTGGTTTTCATCCATCCTTGTTGGCCAGTGCAGAATGACATCACTCCTGCACATGCACAGGAGATCATCGTTCTGGCACATTGAGGATCGGTCTGGACACTGTTGGCAGAGCTGTGCATGTGCAGCTCAATTTACATGCCAGGGGATGTTGCAAATAGGTAACTGTATTTTTTTTTTTTTTTGCAGAGGAGACATATCTCTTCTGCAAAACAAAAACCTGCCTGCTTGTGGTATACAACAGTGGAACTTTAGTTACGCTTTAAAATTCCAGTAAAAATGTAAATAAAGGAAATGCCTTCATTATTGGAGTCTCTTGTTTTGATATCCAGCTCTTTAGGTCAGGAATGCTGAGATCCAAAGAAACTCTGGCATTTAAAATCAGTTGTTTACCACCAAACTCCATGCGGTCTTTATTCTTGAGTGAAGACCAGTGGGCAGGTTTCAGATGTTACAAAGTCCAGCATTGGTGTCACTTTGTAGAATGGTGGTAGAATGAGAAGTGAGACACTACAGCTGGACATTACTCCCCCTTTGGCTAGTTTTTTTTCCCAACATTTAATAGTTAAATAGGAATGCCCTTTTAAGGAATTTCCAATGACTACAGTCAGGTCCATAAATATTGAGACATCGACACAACTCTAACATTTTTGGCTCTATACACCACCACAATGGATTTGAAATGAAACAAACAAGATGTGCTTTAACTGCAGACTGTCAGCTTTAAATTGAGGGTATTTACATCCAAATCAGGTGAACGGTGTAGGAATTACAACAGTTTGCATATGTGCCTCCCACTTGTTAAGGGACCAAAAGTAATGGGACAATTGGCTTCTCAGCTGTTCCATGGCCAGGTGTGTGTTATTCCCTCATTATCCCAATTACAATGAGCAGATAAAAGGTCCAGAGTTCATTTCAAGTGTGCTATTTGCATTTGGAATCTGTTGCTGTCAACTCTCAAGATGAGATCCAAAGAGCTGTCACTATCAGTGAAGCAAGCCATCATTAGGCTGAAAAAACAAAACAAACCCATCAGAGAGATAGCAAAAACATTAGGCGTGGCCAAAACAACTGTTTGGAACATTCTTAAAAAGAAGGAAGGCACCAGTGAGCGCAGTAACACCAAAAGACCCGGAAGACCATGGAAAACAACTGTGGCGGATGACCGAAGAATTCTTTCCCTGGTGAAGAAAACACCCTTCACACCAGTTGGCCAGATCAAGAACACTCTCCAGGAGGTAGGTGTATGTGTGTCAAAGTCAACAATCAAGAGAAGACTTCACCAGAGTGAATACAGAGGGTTCACCACAAGATGTAAACCATTGGTGAGCCTCAAAAACAGGAAGGCCAGATTAGAGTTTGCCAAACGACATCTAAAAAAGCCTTCACAGTTCTGGAACAACATCCTATGGACAGATGAGACCAAGATCAACTTGTACCAGAGTGATGGGAAGAGAAGAGTATGGAGAAGGAAAGGAACTGCTCATACCACCTCATCAGTGAAGCATGGTGGTGGTAGTGTCATGGCGTGGGCATGTATGGTTGCCAATGGAACTGGTTCTCTTGTATTTATTGATGATGTGACTGCTGACAAAAGCAGCAGGATGAATTCTGAAGTGTTTCGGGCAATATTATCTGCTAATATTCAGCCAAATGCTTCAGAACTCATTGGACGCCGCTTCACAGTGCAGATGGACAATGACCCAAAGCATACTGCAAAAGCAACCAAAGAGTTTTTTAAGGGAAAGAAGTGGAATGTTATGCAATGGCCAAGTCAATCACCTGACCTGAATCTGATTGAGCATGCATTTCACTTGCTGAAGACAAAACTTAAGGGAAAATGCCCCAAGAACAAGCAGGAACTGAAGACAGTTGCAGTAGAGGCTTGGCAGAGCATCACCAGGGATGAAACCCAGCGTCTGGTGATGTCTATTCATTCCAGACTTCAGGCTGTAATTGACTGCAAAGGATTTGCAACCAAGTATTAAAAAGTGAAAGTTTGATTTATGATTATTATTCTGTCCCATTACTTTTGGTCCCTTAACAAGTGGGAGGCACATATGCAAACTGTTGTAATTCCTACACCGTTCACCTGATTTGGATGTAAATACCCTCAAATTAAAGCTGACAGTCTGCAGTTAAAGCACATCTTGTTCGTTTCATTTCAAATCCATTGTGGTGGTGTATAGAGCCAAAAATGTTAGAATTGTGTCAGTGTCCCAATATTTATGGACCTGACTGTATTTTCTCACAAAACCATGTGCTTTTGGCTCTATTTTTGTGCTTGTGTTAATTTTGTGCTGGTCATTGCTAGGCTTTTAGGTAATACTCCAGACCAAACAAAACTCATAGAAACAAATGGTACCAAGAATGTAGGAGTTACAGCTTAGTTCGAACCTACAACAGGTTGCTGTTTATGGGTTGCACAATGCTTAGAGATGATAAAAAAAACTGACAGGTTTTTCAGCACCTATAAATCATATGTAGGCCAGCATATGTAGGAACACCAATTGTGCCAAGAGTTCTTAGATCTAGCTATTCTTACCCTAATGTTTACACATTCAGGGTAAGAAGCAACATCAATGTATTTATTTAGACATTATACAAAATTGTGCTACTTGTATGCACTAGCTACATTTTATGTCAGTTTTACTTTTTCCACTTGACTTGGAAAGATGAATTTTCATGGAACTTGCTGTATGTACGTGAAAATGCATATACCGTAAACCATTTATACAGTTGTTTGGGGTTTTTTTCTCTTTCCAGGTAAAAATCATGACTGAGAGAGAGCTCCTGGCTGTGGCGTGTGAGCAGTTTCTTGGGAAAAGTGTCCATGAGATAAAGAATGTCGTACTTCAGACCTTGGAGGGTCACCTGCGATCTATTCTTGGTACAAAATTTAGACCGGTTTACTTGCTTTATAGTTTAAATACAAGGATACCTATTTCCATTTCTTTTTCCATTCTGCATAAGTGATTTTTGGATTTGCACATATTATATGTTGGGTTTGTTAACACACTGAGTTTATTTTTATAATGGGTTTAAATTAATCAAAAGATACTTTATTTTTTTGAACGGTTAATGCCAGTGAACTTTGCAGCAGAGAGAGATGTTCTCTAAAAGATCATTGAGCATTAAACTGTGTTTGTTTTTTTTGGTTTTTTTAATTGTATGTCCAGGCATTACCCAAATTTACCCCCAAACCTCCCTCTCTACTTTTAGAGCATGTCCAAGCATTTTTTTTTCTTGTTGAATATTTTTTTTTCATTAAAATAAAGAATCCAAATAGTTCAGAGATACAAGTATTTAGATCATCTGTACATATGCCTAGGAAAGGATGACAGATAATTTAACTGAGTACAGTGGTACAAAGATAATGGATTGCAACGGTCCATCAAGAAAACCAACCATTTATTTTAAACCTTGGTCCTGTAGCAAGAAGCTCCTTTAACGTCAGCACAATTGTAAAATCCTTGTAGGGGCAGCTGTTGGGAGCACATTTCCTGTTGAGACAGGCTACATCTAGAGCGCTTTCTGTGTACACAGTATATGGGCTGACTTTGAGAGTCAAGACAGTAGCATTGTTTTGCTGGGAAAGTCTTTGTATGGATTTGAAGAAGCACAGTGGTTGATGGGATGAAGGCGGAGTTCATCAGTTGACAAGGCAGGACTGACATTGCTGGTTGGAGTTTCAATGCAGAAAAGACCGTATATTGTCAGCGCAAACAGAGGTTAGAAGCACATGGTAAATCTAGTATATCAAAAGGTATTTGTACATGCTCTTGAGACATATACTGACTGTTTTATCCTAATCCTACAGTACAAGACACACGCTGAGCAATCATAGAGCCTTGTTTAATAGGCCCATACCTTCAGGTAATTGGACTCTGGCAAAGCTTTGAGGACAAACTCTCTGGGCACCTCCCTTTATTACCCTACCCCATTCTGTGAGTCCTCAATTTTTTTTTCTATTGTCCTAAAGTGATTTACCAGTTCTCCCTCTTGCATCTCTATCTTGCGGATAAATTACTCTTAGCTTAACCTGTTTGTTAATTTATCTTTGTATTACTTTACCAAATCTTCACTGTCTCCTAATACCACCTTAGAAGCAGCACCTCCAGATCGGTGTAACCTTGGTAAAACCTTGGGGGTCATACCCAGACCCCACACCATGGGGAAGGCCTTTGTTGCTTCGGGCACTGGATCTTGAGCAGTACACCTCAGTACTATGGTACATATATAGTCAGCTGCGTGCTATACAGGTCCAGTGTTGTGGACCATCTCTATGGATCCCATACCCTGAAGACCCCTTCAGTGGTTTGGCCTTGACCTTATATAAGAACCAGCATCTTGGATAGATGAGAGAGGGTCACCCTTTATCTCTGACTGTTACTGTAAAATTGGGACTGTTTGGAATGTAAATGAATCATACAACAGAAAAAAGCAACGCTTTCAACGGGATCTCACATGGAAGCTGAGAAAAAACGGTGCCCAAGCTGATAGTTTCTCCAGTATCACTCGTAGAACTAGATGCAAAATGGGATACAGCCGGCACCTTGGTAACATCCAGTTGCGGTTATATTTATTTAGCTTGTTGGCGAGTAGAACATTATATGCTTACATGTCTCAGCTGTGAAGCCATAAGGCCTCATGGCCATACTTATGCTGTACTCTCACTATAACTTTCATGCAAACCAATTAGTTTACATGTATTGGGATTTTTTTTTTAGCAAAGACATGTAGCAAAATACATTTTGGCCTAAATTTATGATGAAATCTGATTATTTTTTATTTTTTTCGACATTGTTGGTCTTTTTTTATTTATAGCTCAAAAAATAAAAAATGCAGAGGCAATCAAATACCACCCAAAGACCATGCTATTTGTGGGGGGAAAAAGGACAAAAAGTTAATTTGGGTGCAGCGTTGTATGACTGCTCAATTGTCAGTTAACATAATGCGGCAGCATATTGCAAAAAATGGCCTGGTCAGGAAGGGGGGTAAATCCTCTGGAGCGCAAGTGGTTAATAGCTCCACAGTGCCTGCAGCTACAGAGGTCAACAAAGGCTTATTCTAAAGATCATTTACTGCTTTCCAAGAATATCTAAACATGTGATTAATGGGCTGGCCACAGTTGCACTTTCAGCACACTCTGTATGCTGAAATCTTTTATAGGTCTGCTCTACCTTCTTTGTTCCTTACTGCGTTAATAGTGCAGGCTGATCTTCCTAGCATAGACATGGGGAGGAGGTGGCATTGCTGCTGAGATTATATAGAATTCTGGAAGCCTGGCAGCCCTCTAATATAAACACACAGCAAGTGTTTGTAAGCTGTTTAAAGTGGACTGAAACCGGACTTAGTTGTGATCTTTGAGCGACATTGAGAAAGTATTCACAGCGCTTAACTTTTGCCACATTTTATGTTAGCCTTATTCCAAAATGGATTAAATTATTTTTTTTCCTCAACATTCTACAAACAATGCCCCATAATGACAACTTGAATGAAGTTCATTTTGAAATCTTTGCAATTTATTAAAAAGAAAAAAAAAACACATGTACATAAGTATTCACAGCCTTTGCCATGACACTCAAAATTGAGCTCTGGTGTATCCTGTTCTCACTGATCATCCTTGAGATGGTTCCACAACTTGATTGGAGTCTACTTGTGGGAAATTCAGTTGATTGGACATGATTAGGAAAGGCATAAACCTGTCTATATAAGGTCCCACAGTTAACAGTGCATGTCAGAGCACAAACCAAGCCATAAAGTCCAAGGAATTGTCTGTAGACCTTCCAGACCGTATTGTATCAAGGCACAGATCAAGGGTACAGAAAAATTTCTGCAGCATTGAAGGTCCCAATGAGCACATCTGTAAATGGAAGAAGTTTGGAACCACCAGGAATCTTCCCAGAGTGGTCCGCCCAGCGAAAATTAGCGATCGAGGGCCTTGGCCAGGGAGCTAACCAAGCACCCGATGGTCACTCTGAAAGAGCTCCAGTGTTTCTCTGTGAAGAGAGGAGAACCTTCCAGAAGAACACCCATCTCTGCAGCAGTCCACCAATCAGGCCTGTATGGCCAGTTGGAAGACACTCCTCAGTAAAAGGTAAATGGCAGCCCTCCTGGAGTTTGCCAAAAGGCACCTGAGAGACTCTCAGACCATGAGAAACAAAACTCTCTTGACTGATGAAACAAAGATTGAACTCTTTGGCCTGAATGCCAAGCGTCATGTCTGGAGAAAACCAGGCACCGCTCACCACCTGGCCAATACCATCCCTACAGTGAAGTATGGTGGTGGCAGCATCATGTTGTGGGGATGGTTTTTAGCGGCAGGAACTGGGAGACTAGTCAGGATCGAAAGAAAGATGAATGCAGCAATGTACAGAGACATCCTTGATGAAAACCTGTTCCAGAGCACTCTGGACCTTAGACTGGATCGAAGGTTCACCTTTCAACAGGGCAACAACCCTAAGCACACAGCCCACATAACAAATGAGTGGCTACATGCCAGCTTTTATGAATGTCCTGGAGTGGCCCAGCCAGAGCCCAGGCTTGAACCCAATTGAACATCTCTGGAGAGATCTGAAAATGGCTGTGCACCGTCGCTGATGGAGCTTGAGAGGTACTGCAAAGAAGGTGAGAAATTGCCCCAAAATAGGTGTGCCAAGCTTGTAGCAGCATACTCAAAATTACTTGTGGCTGTAATTGGTGCTAAAGGTGCTGCAACAAAATATTGAGCAAAGGCTGTGAATACTTATGTACATGTGGGTTTTTTTTATTTTAATAAATTGCAAAGATTTCAAAACTAACTTCTTTCACATTGTCATTATGGGGTATTGTTTGTAGAATGTTGAGGAAAAAAATTAATTTACTGTATTTATCGCTCCATAAGACGCACTCCCCCCCCCCCCCCCCCCCCCCACACACACACACAAAGGGGGAAAATGTCAGTGCGTCTTTATGGAGCGAATATAAAGCGACCGGTCCGGTATTTCCTCCACCACTGTGTCAGAATACCGGGCCGGCCACTCAGCTGTTCTTTCCTGCAGGACCTTACCTGTTCCTCGGTCCAGCGCTGCACAGTCTTCCCGCCCCAGCATCTATGACAGCCGGGTGCCCAGTGCGCATGCGCGAGAAGCGCTGCGCTTTGTGAATGGTACGGCGTCTTCTGGGACACATGACAGGTCCCAGAAGACGCCGGACCAATCACAAAGCGCAGCGCTTCTCTCTCATGTGCACTGGGCACCAGGCTGTCAGCCTGGTGCCCACACTTAAGGATGGACAACTCTGCGGAAGTGGGAGCGGGTACCTGTCAAATTCAGGTACCCGCTTCCCCTCCCTCCTCAAAGGTACACAGTCTTTTTTTTTTTTTTTATTTTTATTTTTATTTAAATATATATTTATTTTCCATATAAAATACAGATTTTATCATTACTCCCATATAACATACAAAACTATCAAATGTATCCAAACCATTAATTATATCCCTTTTCTATCTTTAACCCCTTCACGCCTAAGGGTAAAACAAATCTAAATGCCTAAGCACAATTCTGCACCGTTGACATGTGATAGCAAAACCGTACATATCATCACAACTACTTTGCACATCCAGGTGGATTATACCTTGATTTTTTCAGGACAAATTGGGCTTTCATTTGGTGGTAAATGGTAATGGATATCTCCTGATTTTTTTTTATTATCAAAGGAAAACTGGCCAAAAATAGTAAAAAAAAATCCTTTCCTTTTTTTTAATTTAGCTATGTGTTTCTTGTTATGACCATAACCTACCACCAAACAGCAACCCAAAATAAATTCTCCAGCTCTTGACGATCGCAGCGATATCATATATGTGTATGTTATTTGTTGTTTGTACCCGTAGTACAGCCCAGAAACCAT